AGATCTTTTGTCATCCATCGAACTCTTAATATTAAGATTTTGTCATGCATTTAACTTTTAATAATAATATTTTTTTTCCAACAATGACACTCCTTTGGTGTATTTATACAACAATTCCATCCCTCACCTTCCCTTATATTGTCCATCTCTATCTCTAGTGCAACTTAAAAGTTTTCGAAATAACAAAAAAAAAACTTTAAAAAACAAGTTATTCTCATCAAAGCATGGCTTCTGGATCTCTGGTATATTTTTTGAGAAATTTCAAAAAATGCCACTTTTCAAATGCCAATTTACAAAAATGCCACATTTTTGAAATCTTTACAAAAATGCCACGTTTTCAAAATTATTTTTTCTTTATATTATTTATGTTTGGGTTAATTATGTTCTATTAGAGTTTAGTTTTGAGTGTTTAAGGGGTTTTAGGTGTCAAAACATTTTTTTAGGATTTAGAATTTTAAGATATAGGCTTTATAAATCTATAATTAATGACATTTTTGTAAATGAACACCTCTAAGTGGCATTCTTGCAAATATGCACACAAAAAGTGGTATTTTTGTAATTGCCCCATATTTTTGTCTGTTCAAGTTTCTTCCGTAGTCATATATCAAATTTGTTGGACCATTTTCTCTTATATTCTCTGCATGAAACTTGTTATTGAAATTTGTGTATGATAAAATCTTTACAGGTGGTGGATATATAAGTGACCTTGAATTTGGAGACACTCAAATTGTTCAGCCCATAGGAGTCCATAAGGCCACTATAGTATGGTTGCATGACATTGGCCGCAAAGGCTCCGAGTAATTAACACTCACATACTTTATTTTTGTTATTGTTATAGGATTTAAAAAAAAAAAAGCCAAATCGACCTATTCTCATTTTACTAATAAACATGTTCTGCTAAAACTTCAAACTTTTAGTTTGATTTGGTATTTATAAATTGATCTTTAAAGTTGAATTTTGGCATGTTATAAAAATATTTCGACCAAAAAAAAAAGGCATGTTATAAAAATAATAAATTTCAAAATTCTTTTTTTTTTAATGGTGTTTAACTTATATTTTCATATAAATTTTGTGGCACCGCAAAGAATAAATAGTATTCTTTTTTTGTCAGCAATAAATAATATCATCTATTTTCTCTAAAATCGTCTTTTCTTATGAGATGCAGTATTAAGCTTATTTCACTTAAGTTATCCGCACTTCAGTCCTTGTTGTTTTTTGTTTTCGAATAATTCTCATGATATATACATTATACATGTATGTCTATTATATTTGCAGCTCAGCTCGGTTTGTGAGAACGTTGGGTCTTCCAAATGTATGAATCCATTAACATGCTTGTTTTGATATGAATCTGTTTTTTTTTTTATAGCCAAATGGAAATTAACTTGGTTTGAATTTTCTAAAAAAATATATGGTTTTGCTGCATAGATAAAATGGATTTGTCCGACTGCTCCTAAACGTCATCTTGCTTATTTCGGTGGAATGCAAACCACTGCATGTAAGATCAGTTGCCTTCAAATTTCGAAAAAGATAGCATGTGATGTCTTTGAAACATTAATACAACCTCTTTGATGGATCAGGGTGCAATATTTCAGAAGTTTCCGAAACCATGGAAGATGATCTTATGTCTTTATATTCTGCTTCATTTATTGCTAGCCTTCTGTCTTCCGAACCTGGGAATGGTAACCAAAAATTATTTATTCATAGAGGTTCTACTATATATAGCTAAGTGATTAATCATTTAATGTTGTTTTGATAGTCATGAAAGGAGTAGGAGGTATCGGTTTGGGTGCAGCAGAAGCTCTCTATGTTGCAAGTTGTTATGGCTGTGGATTATTTCGCATAAACCTAAAAGTTGTTGTAGGACTCAATGGTTGGCTTCCTGACTCAAGGTACGTAGGCTCTTCAAACCCTAATGTTATTTATAAGTTACTTACCTTTTAAACATATAAATTCTAATTTAAATTTGCAGAAGTTTACAAAACAATATGGTATTTAGTTCTGGAAATGCAAATCGTGCTGCATCGCTACCAATCTTACTTACACATGGAACTTTCTTAGATAATCATGGAACTAGTATGTGAATCATTTATATAACTAAATATATATTTATTTCCTTGAGAAAGTATAACTTGTCTATATATATATATTCTACTTCACTGTTCTTTTGAGAGTAACTAATACTG